GCCCAAGTCCCACCCCCACCCCCCCCCAAGCAGAAAAACTTCCCCAAATATCTGCAATTTCTGCCTTTCAGATCACTGAGATCAATGGTTATTTATGTCACTGAAGCAGAAGCCTCAGGACTGCAGTGTCTGTCTCCACATGTAAATGGGAGCCCACGAGGAAGCACCTAAATATACCAAGCACCTTTCCTAACCACAGCAGAAAGACAACAGAGGGCTGAGCATCATGCAGATGTGGTTACCTGGCCTTTGGTTGACTCTTCTTTGCAGCAGCTTCACTTGCTTTAACCGGGTCTGGGAGTTTAGCGGGGATTGGAGAATTCTGCAGATCCCAAAACCAACAAATTTTGTATTTTGAGGGCAGAAGACAGAGTCAGAACTAATTTGCAAGAGCATCGCATGAAACAGGGAAATTGGGGGATCCCCAAAACAATTATTCCTCATGCTGGACACAGGACAGACCCCTCAATATTAATGTCATGAGAAGACAGTAGTTTAGGAGAGTCTTTACAAGGGAAAAACACAGTTCAGCTTTTTGACTATTTGCTACGTGTGGAATCTGAACACAAAGCTTCACAGCACAACTTGGGTATTTTTAAAAGACAACCTGGGACAATAGCAGCCATACATATTACTACTGCTATAAAAAAGCTACAGGCATAGTAGTACTAAAAACATGTCTTATTCATAAAGACTGTAAATAACCACCTGAACATGGGGAAAAAAATAGGTTTCCTCTTACCTGGAAACAATAAAATGTCATGTCACAGATGTGTGTAGCACCATTAAAAAAAAAAACAACCTATCAACTATTTTTCAAGTGAAGTCTATAAGGATACACTAAGAAGGGGCAGATGGTTGTGTGAGGCCTGACGGAGTTCAAACGCAGTCCCAGCCAGACGGCAGACACAAAACTGCTATGTTTAAAACCCACTGCAGCACAAATTACACACGCTGTGATGAATGTGCTGGGAGATCAAATTGGTTTCACAAGCATGGCCTAATTTTTCATGTCCACATGCACAAGATCTCTTGGTTGGCCTCACATGGTAACTGGGTGAGGAGTTAAGCCAGGGACAAACAGAAATAAAAGACATATGAAACAAAACCATGATTCCTGTCCCCAGCTCCTAAAAAACCCCAACCCAAACAGCACTAGTCACAAAAAAGAGAGGGAAAGAAAAAACGACAGACCCTCCTAATTACAGAACCGAGGAACAACCGACAGAATATAGCAGAATGCTCGATAGTCAGCAACTGCCACCCCCAGTCTCCTCCCACAAAGCTCTACATCAGCCCATTCCTTCGCCACTCACCTGGACATTCTGGACTGGGCATTCCTTCTTTGCCAATTTGAATGCAAAGTAGGAAACCTGATAAATATCAGGTCTCTTATCAGGGTCTGGCTCAAGCATATACCCTTTAAAAGACAGAGATGCTAATATCAGAGCAATAGAACAGACAGACCGACATGAGCCATTTGGGGCAGCGTATCAGAAGATATAAGGAAAAAATCTTTTATGATGGGCGTGGTAAGAACACTGGCACAGGATGCCCAGAGAGGTGGTAGATGCCCCATCCCTAGAAACACTCAAGGTCAGGCCAGACAGGGCTCCGAGCAACCTGATCTAGCCTAAGATGTCCCTGCACGTGGCAGGGGGGCTGGGCGAGGTGAGCTTTAGAGGTCTCTTCCAACCCAAACCATTCCGGGATTCCACATTTGGTATACGCAGATGCTAACAGGGTGCTGTGACTCTTTCAAAGCACCCAGTCGGTGGCCAGCAGGGCTGAGGTGATCATCTGGGTCAGCTGAAAAAGGGGCAAGACAGCCACTCAGGATGGACTAGGGGATATATTCCAGGGCAGCTATGAAAATTCGTAGCTGCTATTGAAGGCTCGAGGGCCAGAAGGGGAAACGGAGCCTGCTTGGTCAGGGAACAGCACTGGTTTTGACTTCTGCATTTCCAAGTGAACCCAGGGGAAAAGAGCTTGATCCAGCGCCGGTGTGCCAGTGGGGCAGGAACACAGGCCAGCCACATACATCGCTGCACATGTACCACCACATAAGGAAAAAAAAAAAAATACCAGCCTGCTCTGCAAACACATCCAACTCTGTGTTAGTCAAAATTGTGGCTAGGAAAAAAAAAAAAAATCCAATGCTGTGCTGAAAACAAGAGAGCTGCCCCAGCTTTGCCAAGAGCAGTGCATTGTACCCTTAATTACACATTCACTCTAGTCAGTGGGTTATTTATAAATCATTTCAGTTCTGTTTCTCAATTCACAGAAGATGAATTCTTATCGCTCGTCTAAGTCACTGTGGTTCTTTTCAGTTCCTTATCCAAATAGATTTATTACTGGAGAAATACGTTTCTGCATAAATAGGCTTATTGTGCAAGTTTCTGTAGGACTCTTAAACCAAATGGTTGTCTGTTTTCCTGCCTTTCCACGGAGTTCACTGCAGCCTAGCCGAAGAGAGATCTCTTTGTCACAACTGTCTTTCAAAGAGTGATCTCCTAAGCGACTACAAGATCACTTTAACCACCCCTTTGTGCAAGCAAGTCTCTTAAAAGAAGAGAAACACCAACGGTTTTACTGTAGGAACAGGGAACGTAAGGACAAAACACTTCTGCGGGGTTTTTTTAGTTCTGTGGAAGTAGCTTACGCCACTGTCAGACACTCACGGATGAGGCAGTGCATGTCTTGTGAGTGCCGAGAATTATCTGGAATGGTGAAATTGCCATCACAGATTGCCACCTGACTCTCCCCAAACGGCAAGGTGAAGTAACACAGCTTGTACAGTAAACAGCCAAGGGCCTAAAGAGAGAGAACAGAGCAAAGGATTCAACAAACTGAGGAAAAGCAGGGAACGGCACAATCCAAACACCATTGCAGACAGCAGGGAAAGTGCTCTAGCGTGCTCTACTACAGGGGTCCCGCCTGACGTCAGGCCTGCATTTTAACGTCCCTGGGACCGACTTGAAAACAAGCACAGTTACATGGGAAGACAAATACATGAAGCGCCTTCCCTTGCTAGGCTGAAATACTGTGATCTGGGGGACTGTGCAGTATCATCACACCCCCCCCACAGCCCCACGTACCGCTACACGTCGAGTGACCCTGCAAGTCATTAAACAGGCAAAGCCTGTTTCCACCACACACTGGGAGGAAAAAGCAAAGTAACAGCAAAAATAAATGGTAACCATCTTCCTTAATACATTTATTCTGGCAAAGAAAATCTAAACTGTTTCCAAGCTTAAGTTCAAACCACCTTTCAATCGTTATAAATATGTACCAGGCAGAGATATACAGAGAAGACTACAGGCTGCTAGGTTATATCACCCTTCCATCTATTTCTGGGCTGCTTTTGACAGCCAAAACCACCACCTATTTCAAAAGAAAATACAAGTTTTGCACAAAGGGCTAATTATGAAACACTCCCACCATCTCAGAGAGGAGAGGGGGAGACATTTCCTAATCCTAAGCAAGTCATCATCAGCTTCTCTTTTGTCAGAGGATTTCACAATTAAATCGCACTCTAGTTTAAAATAACCTCGGTAAGATTTAAGGAAGGGGAGCTTTCCAGCTGGACAAATGCTGCAACAGGCCTTGAAGCCGAGGTCCCACTGTGCACACCACCACAGGCTCCTTTGGAAACGCTCAGCAGGTCACTAGAACAAAATTCCTTCCGCGCCAGGAAGAGGAGAGCCTTTGGGTCTCTGCCCTTCCACATCATCACAGGAAGGAGTGCAAATCCTAAGTTCTCTGGCTGCCTTGGAGGCCCTGACAATCTTTTTGTGCTGTTACAGCTGTGACCTTCCCTCTCCAGGTCTCCAACACCCAGGCGAGTGAGCCGGCGCTGGTACAAACGTCCTGCTGAACTCAGCAGAGAAAGAGCCCCACAGGAGCTGCCGCTTTCCCAACTCCGAGCTGAGCTCAGAGAGGACAGAGGACTCTTCCCAGCAGATGTCACGCCAGCAATTTTCCCTCTTATATATGCAGATGCAGAGCTATTGAGAACACATTAGAACTCTCCTTATGCTGCTTCTGGCTTCTTCCTAGCTCAGGGCTTCGGAAACCAAACAAACATGCTCTGAATTAGCATTTTAAACGCATCCCATTTGCTAAATTGCCACTACACTACAAACAGCACAGACTTTTTTTCATCTCCATCCCAACTAAAGGGGAAGCCTTCCATCCTTGATCAGGTTAGCCAGTAATGGATTACACTCCAGTTGCATTTTGCTCTCAACATGAAAAGCATGGCAAGACTGCACTGGTCATTAGCAGCACAAAAGCTTGGTCTTTGGCCAGGTTTGACAACCCAGACCTGTGTTACACTGTCCAGGACAAGCATACTATTGCTCCTGGGGAAGGTCTGTTTTCTTAGTTTTCTACTAAATTCTGACCAGTAACTTTCATGTCACATGCTTACAACCCAACGCAGGCACAAGAAGTAACAATACTCTGAATTTTCTGGTTTAACTCTTAAGACACGACACCAGGTTTGCACTGTTCAACCCTGGAATTCCATACATCTCTAAATTAAAACCACATGGGGGGGGTAGCATGTGAAGAAGCATGCATGTTTTATCCATAAACCGCCATGCTCAGCAGTAACTCATCAGAAACATCAAGCAGAGGAACTCTTTATTCAGAAACTGTCCAGCCTCTTAAGGAAACTAGGTTAGCCTCAGCCAGAAAGCTACCCTCTCATTACAGTAATGAAAGCAAGCTGCAGTCTGGTTCTACGACGTTACGCGGTTTTTATACGTACCCATATGTCTGCTTTTGTAGTAATAAGTTTGCCACTATAGAGGTTGACCATTTCTGGTGCTCTGTAGGATAACGTAGTGTACCTGTAGCAGAAAGATCTATCAGTGAGTTCAAAATGAGTATCGGATACATTTTCACCATGTCACCTTTCCAAATTATTAAAATTTCACTCCATCCCTATTCATTTTGGGGAAAGGGATACTAAAGAAGATAATCTATAGGAAAAAAAACCAAACAAACTCTTTTAACAGCAGCATCTGCTACATACCTTTAACTAAAATACTAACCACTGCAAACTGGCCTGTGAAACCACAGCGATAACCAGGATCTTTTCTAAAGCAAGCAATTTCCTCACAAAATAGTACAGTTCAAGAACTAGAAGTGAACTATTCAAGGATTCAGAGTAACAAGGTCAATAGTCAGATGTCCTCTGCAATGTCCTCGCTGCTGGGGCTTCGGCCAACTGTATTACAAAGATTGTAACCAGATACGCGGCTCTAACAGACAGACTTCCATACCAGGGCTCCCGCTCAGAGCCGCTGCAAACAAGGGAAAGGTTATTTCATATCTTGAACTATAGCTAGAATCTGCCTCATTTTAACAAATCACTACAAATAGAATAGCTGGAAACTGCGCCACAGTTTAAAAGACTCTTACGATAAGATTTCTTATCAGTAGGTCTATACTTTCTGCCACAGCACCTTGCATGCTGTTTATCTTGATCACAAGAAAGCATTGCTAAAGGCAAAGTTTGTGTAGGCCTGTTAATAAGTGTACAAATAGGGCATTCCAAAGGGACCGCAAAGCCAGACCAGGAGCACTCTAAAAACTTCAGTCAAGTCTAGGAAATCCATGCAGGTGTAATCGAATCCTAACAAAAAGAAGGCATTTGCACACATTTCTAACATGCTGTTTTCTAGCCAGACTACTGTATTAACAGAACTGTAAAGTTTGCAGCAGCAATGTTAAAACCAAAGTGAGCCCGAGAAGCTGGAGTCTGCTCCACTCCTGATCTAGGTCCTACCGAAGTGCCAGTCCCCTTTTTAAGAGCATCAGGGTGCACCTCGTTGCCATCACTATAAGTGGCTGTGCATGGGGCGGGAGGAGCAGCCAGATTAAACACCTCAAGGTCCTTAGATTTTCTGTGAAAGGCTGAGGAGTTAGGCCATGCATTCCCTTAGTCACTACAAGGATTTATGACAAGTTGCTCAGGGAGGACAGGGATTTTATCATCTGCTGTACTGCAGTCCGAAGAAGCCAAGAGAGATGAAGGACAGAGATAGACTGACCCCATAGATAACGGAACATGTCACTACCTCGTCAAGGTGGGCACCTTCTCTGCATTAGCACACTCAGTCTTTCAGGTCCAAAACAATTACATCAAGCTCAATTTATTGTTTCACCTTCCCCCAGGCGCTTATTTACCTGCAGTAGACACTTCTATGCAGCAGCACCCAATCTGCTGCAACGGGACTGAGTAAAATTTAGTCCCCAGTAGAAGAAAAAATTACCCTTCAAACACAAACTATGCCCAAGTTGAGCAGGAAAAGCACACTTACTTTTTGATCTCCTCCTCTACTGCGTTCACCCCTTCTGTTTGAGGGTTCTGGAATTTGTTAGTAGCACTTCCAAAGTCACACAGGACATAGTGGCCACGATCGTGGAGCAGGATGTTCTCAACCTGTGAGCATCACAGACAAATACAGAATCACTCAGACAAAAAAATCAGCTTCCTTTCCATGAGCCAGGGTTTTTAGTGCCTGAAGACATATCAGACATGTCTGACATGAAAGCATAACATGACAGCAAAGAAAATACGCATCAAAACCCTGTCACATCCCCTAAAGTAGAAGTCAAATTGTGGAAGCAAAGTTGTAACACTGCCTTCCATCCTGCCACCTCTCCTTTCTCCTTCTGCAAGCACATCACCTTGCCTCTAAGACTGCTGTGTGCTTCAGGACAGGAAAGGTGTCTCAGAGTCTTTCAGGTTCAACTTTTCTGAGTTACTATGACCCACACTCTGGCATCTGAACTTGAGCCAGCTAACACAAGATGTCCACAGCTTTGTAAAGGGCTATGCCCCTCGCTGTCGAGGGGGGCAGAGGGGAGGCAAATGGATGACAGCACACACACTTCTATCCTTCATGGAACTGTACTACACCTTCAGTTCTTTGCCTGCATTTCACCTGCTGCTTAGGGTCTCATTCAAAACAAGCTTCAGCTTCTGCTCACACTTCAGCTGCTTGTTATCAGGCAGTGTTGGGTACCCTGCAATCCTCAGCAGTGGTTGTATCAGCAGAGGTTCCTCCAGGCTGCTAAGAAGATGAGCCCTTTCTTCCAAGTATTTGGTAATTTGAATCAGACAACTGAAACAAATGCTGAAACTAACACCTGGGATAGCTAAAAAAATAAAAATCAGCAGTCACTGCCTTTCCCTAAATACTGACACTTAATCATGCATTAACAAATATCTAGTTTGCATCCACTTAAGCAAGCTGTCTAAATGTTTCAACACCTACATCAGATGTGGACAAACCTGGGTTCAGCTCTTTGCTTTGGCAGAGCATCCCTGTATTCCAGTTCCTCATCTGTACAGCGGCATTAACAGCATGTTCTCTCATGGGAACACACACAATTTTTAACATATTTATCTTCAATCACTGTCAAATGCTCAGATATAACAAGATAAAACATACTGCTCATATATTTCAAGAAAATCACCACATAAGTGCTCGCTAACAAAATCTTTTGGAAGTCGGCTTCTCCATCAAGGATGATCTTTACAAGAAGGAAAGAAAAAGAAGTAGTCAGCATTTTAAGCATCAGAAAATGCAGCCAAATTAGAGCAGCTGAGGGGGGAAACGCTGGCTCGAAACCAAGGGTTAAACAACACCCCTTCCCCCCTCTGCTATCCATCTGCTTTGAATAAAGCATTGCACACAGATGTTCTCCCTAGCAGATCAACACTGACAGCATTATTCCCTATTCCCTGCAAATATTCATCAAACATTTCCAGAAGAATCCTTCCACTTTATCTGGCTGAGAAGTCTGACATGACTGCTCACTGAAACATCCTGCAAGTTTTATTAAATATCAGCCCTGGACTGCCCAGCAACCAGGCTTGTTCAGTAACTTCCAGAAAGAAAGAAAAAAAATTAAAAACAGCGAAACAAAGTATTTAAATTACTGCTACTGACAGCCAGGCCAGAGAAAATCGTCTTTTAAAAATAGTATGGAGGTGCCTTCTTCCAGTCAAACACTCAGAAAGCTGAAATACACTTTTCAGCATTGCTGAGTACCCACAACTCTGGCTGCAGTCTCTAACATGACCAACACTTAAAAACCAGACTTAGACCCCAAACAAGAATCTTTAAGGGAAACTATGAGTTGCTGCAAGTTCTGTTAGTTACGGAATGTAGCTTCTGGCTTTACCCTCTGAAGCCTTTCGGTGCTAAAATCAGAAGTCACAAAAGCAGTGCACAGGCACACACTGGCAAGGGGTAAGGAATAAGGCTCTAACTAGCAAAATCAACACACCTTATCCTCTCGTGAGAGCCACGGCTTCTAAGCCGGTATCTCCAAATTCAGGTAGCCATCTGGGAGGGGGGCATGACCAGGGTACACCTCCTGACTGCTTTCCAGCACCTTCAGGTCTCTCTAGAGATGTTTCAACTCTCCTTCCTCCCCTGGCACCATTCACTCTTTACTTCTGGAAGTTTGTTTAGTATTTCATAGCAAAGAAATGAATGCAATGTGACAGCTAAGACCACTAACTGGTTTTGGCACAGGCATATTCTTAACATGGTCGATACAAGGGTTTACCATCAGAGGGCTGAACAATTTTACATATCACACACTGAACACAGATTTATCCAAACAAATTCCAGCCAAAGGCTTGTTGTCAGCATCAGGGCAAGGCTTGGCATTACAAAGAAGCACGATGGAAGAAGGCACAGAGATAACAGCAGCACAGTGTAACTGTCTTATCACGCCACAGAGAAGCGCCACACAGGGAAGACTCCTGCTAAAAAGAAAGCAGAAGAAACTAAATCCTTAACATGAGAGCACAACCTTCTGGTTATTTCAGAAAGTAGAGAAAGGAAAGGAGAAAAATGTTTTGATCAACAGAATCCTCTGGGTTGACTGACAGAGTATTTTGCTGTATCCTGCAGTGTCTACTACAGTGTCTATTCAGCCACTCATCTGCAAACGAGTCATCTAATCCTGGAACCAGATGGGTTCAGACTAGCAGAAGCTTCACAGGTAGACATGGGAGACCTCTCACTGCAGAAAGCTCTGAGCCGTAGAAATCAAACTTGGCTCTAAGCTGGTGCTTTGAACAACACATGTTATAGGACACAAGACTGGAAAGACAGGTTAACTGTAAAGCAAGTTATGCAGACAACTGCCACTAGGTATAGCGGAGTTGTGTAAATTATCATCAGCCCTGGATAGATTTTCCTCTCCCTCCACCTCACTAAACCCTACTCCTCTGGGGTCTGACAGTTACAGTTTTTCTGCATAAAGTCCAACTCAGAAGCAGAGACTTCACAGCCAGGGTGATACAACTGATAGCCATAAGAAGATTACCACTTGTTCTCCACTGTTAAAAAGCCTAACCTAAAGATCTAGGAAGTGTTCTTACTCCAGAGAAGATAAAAATTAAGTTTTTGGGAAATGCCCTAGAGCAGCAATGGCCTCTGGACCCTGAGGGTGAGGAAAACATTTGCAAGAAGCAGCAAAGGTAACTACACAAGGCGAGCCCGCTGCCGGTAGGCTTACACTGCCTCTGTAGGTCAGGGGTCCTAACCAGCACAGAGACAGCGCACGAGGAGCTTCCTAATTTTTTAGGAAAAAGCAGCATCGATATAACCTGGTTTTGTGGCAGTCAATCAGAGCACGTGAAATTAAACATCACACCCTGTACATCCCAGCTGTAAGTGCACAGGGACAGACACAGCACCTGAGAGTTGAGATCAGGAAGGCAAACCTTAATAAACACACACAGAGATGACATGCTATCTTTTTTGTGGCCTTTATTCACACCGAGATGTCCATTTTTGCCTACAGGCACGCTGCTTAAAGGTGCTGTTGTCCCCAGCTGTTGGTCACTTCCCACCAGTTGGAGACTGTGCCAACAGGAGGTTGCTCTTGCTTCTGGCAAAGCCTGTTGGGTTAATTCAAAAATCACAGCCACAGGCTGCTGAAACCAATCCAGCTGCGTTTGTCTGAAAGGGCTTAAAGACAATTCACACGATCCCTTCTGCTGGCAGAGTTCTCTGGGCAGGAACCTCCAGCATCAGAACAACATCAAAGAGCTGGAAGGCAAAAAAAAGCCTCCAGTCCGCATGCAGCTGCCTGCAAAGTCAACGTCTGCCCACTCTTCAGGAGGGTTGTGTTCACCCCAACAAAACACCTACCCCATGGATGCCCTTTCTTACACTCAGGACTTGTACAAAACTTCTCTGGCCCTTAATCTCTCTTGGAATTGCAGCTCCCCTTTGGCATTATTAAATTTGAACTCAAAGTCAAAACATAGCCAAATTATTCATTCTGTGTTAGTACTCAGATCCCCAATTGTGACTGGAGCTCCAGAGGCCATCACCACAGAAATAATACAATAGTCAACTGAGAAACATGTCTCAAAGCAAAGAGCCAACTCTGACCTTGGACACAGCTTACCAACCAAGAGCCAGGCCTGGCAAAAACTTCACTGATCTATGCATGCAGCGGTGGGCTGGACATCAGACCGTAACAGTCCATTTCAACTTCAACTCGGTGTAGAAAGCAACACTCCAGATCAACTTCCTAACTCAGCACAGATGTCCCAGATTTTATTCACGTGACACACAACGAGTTTGTTCTTTATTAAAAAAACCCTGGATTCGCCAAAAAGGTAACAGCAGGGGTTAATATCAACTTGAGAGGTTCCTGTTCCTAAGCCTCACCCTCTCATCCCAATTTTCCTTGCCTATACACACGCCTGCAAGATGCCACAGACCTTACCAGCTTTAAACCCAGGCCTCAAGTTTACGAGACTCCACCCATTTCACTCTAGAAAACGCAGATGTCAGACTCGTTTCATACATTCAGACCGACCGAGCAGTGGGGTCACAGTCATTGGAAACATGCTAAAGCATACCAATCCCTGAGGATTTGTTTCCCCTGTGCTCTCGTTGGCACACGTGGCATCTTCTGCTCCTGTAACATCATGGCCAGCGGCACAAAACAAACATCTGTTGCAGGCTCCGAAAACAGAACCTGACCCACAAAGCACATCTGAATTTCAGATGTACACAGGAGCCTCCTTCTTGGCTGAATATATTATTCAGGCATTTTACAAGCTAGTTGAGAGGAAAGGGAAGATCTTTCTGTTTGTTTGTTTGATTACAGGCATGGGATTTTTCAAAAGCTCTCCCTGCTGGCCTAGCTCTGTTCCCAGCTAAGCACAGAGTTTTACAATGCATTTTCATGGTCAGCAGAGAGTTAGAGGCCAGTTTCAAAAGCTTCTAACGACTCTTGCCCCAAGGCCAACATCTCTGGAGGGATCCTTTTAATGTGGGTCCAGGAACCAAATTTACAGCATGTTTTCTGTGAACTACCTTATAAAATCAATAATGTTTCAGGTGGTAGAAAGTCACCGTGAATAATTCATCAGATACATTCTGGCACATCTCCTGTGCAAAACAGAATTATTCACAAACATTGGTGGTTTTTAAGTAGATCTATAGATGGTAAACATATGGTAAGCAGCAATAAGAGGCTCATTTCTTTTTTTATCTTCCAATAGAGAGAGGTATTTATGCCCACTTTTCCTCATTACTAACAACAGAAACACAGTCCCGGTATTCAAAGCCCGTCTGCCACGGCGTAGGCAGCAAGCAGACACGTTAAGGAGGACGCACGCTCCCTGCTGTATTACTGGAGTCCACAGCTCACCTTCAAATCCCTGTGGATTATTGGCGTTTTACACTGATGCAACCTGGCTACGGCTTCGCAGGTGTCACAGAAGATCTGCAGGACCTCATTCTCCGTGAAGCCGGTCTGCAGGCGTTGGTTCATGAGGTTCACCACTTGACCTCCTGGGGAGAAAAACACGAAGGATCAGAGCAGGTGTGCAAAATGAGGTCTGGCCTGGCCTAAGCTCCCGTCTTACCAGACATAATTTGTCTTAGTCTGCTCCCCTTCAAACTGTGGCTGTACAGTCAGCACGTAAGAAGTCCACAAGTTCAAATTCAAAATTGACACCAAGCCTTCCCCAGAAGCTTTTTGTAATCTGCTTACTCATCTTGTTTCATTCGCATTTCCTCGCCTAAATCCCAGGGGGTTTCACATATCCGCCGGCAGGCATCACATCTCATCCTTTGAGCAATGCTTCAAGAGCAGCACTTTAACTTCTAAGGCCCACATTCACCTGGCTGTGTTAACTCTCAAATCTAACTCTAAGCCGCAAATTTTTCTTTCTTCTTCAAAATAAGACTTTTTTGTAGACTAAGAGGAATAAAAGGCTGAATTTGGAGCACCCACAGTCCACAAAATCGTTTGCCACATATAAGCAAGAGGAGGGGGAAAGGGAGACACTCTGAAAGCCCATACTCTACTAAGTGGCTTGGCTAAATTCACAGATTGGCAAAAAATTAACAATTCCTCTGTAACAAGGGGAACTCCAGACAAAGAAAAGCAAGTTTTCATGAATGATTCCTGAATTTGCCTCAACTCTGAGGTTTTGTTGCTGTCAAGTCCTTTCCAAAACAACCCACACTGAGGTTCTTCCCCCCTTAAAACACCCTATATACGCAGAAAAAACTCCTTTCTGAACCTTTGGCAAAGAAAAACTGTATCGTTTCATATCACAAGTGTTGGAAAACTTTATTTTCATGGCACAAAAGAAAAGCTCAGCTTAATAAATAATGCAGCTGTGAACATTTTGCACTGAAAGCAAGTGCAGTTCTGCACACAAAGACATACTGATTTGGTTTGGAAACCGTTCCACACAAAAGGAAAGTAACAAGGGAAAATCCAACACGTAACAGCAATTCCTGTGCTTCAGCCTGAGTGCTGGAGACAGACAGGTGTGTGTTGAGTATCTGGCAAAAGCAAACCACGTGAGAAATACCACCTTGCAGCTCTCCTCCTTTCAGATGGAAGGGAGCACCTTAGAAAGACAGATTTGACTTCATCAGCCCAAAATGTGGCACAGAGGGCAGGCTAATGCAGCTGGAGGGAGCGCGTCCTGAACTGCTATGGTTTGCACTTCCCTCCACAGCGGGGTACGCAACACGGAGCTGAGTATGGATGTACTAGCACTGCCAGGCCTCTTTCTTACAACACCCCTTGTGATCTTTAGGTTTAAGCTTTCAGAGAGCTTACGTAACAATTCCTTCAGCAAAAGTACACTTAAGGTTCTTCCTTTCACCAGCAGACAAACAGAATGCAAGTTCGTCAAGATTCCTGCATCAAAAGGAAGCAGCAAAGCCAGCACAGCATAACAGAAAGATGCGCTGTACATGCGCAAAGGTATTTTAGCATCTAGTTGCTCTTGCTACAATGCACCTGGCTTCAGTTAAAAGCCAAAGACTCCCCAAGAATACCTACTTCCATCAGCTGCCACCATCCAGAACAGCCACAGACTTCTGAAGTCACCTGGCCAAAACAATCTCTTTGCTTAACACTATTCCTGCGAGAGGCATTTGAGCACAGCACATGCGTCATTTTCCAAACACCACATCCTAGCCACAAAAGATCAAAGCTTTGGGACAGCTGGAAAAGACTGGAAGAGCCTGTCTGGCTAGAGACAGCCAAGTAAAAAGGTCAGAGGTAAAATGAATACTTTTCAGCTTCACATTATTCATTTCATGCTTCTTCCAGAACAATCCTAAGTCAGGCTGAAGTGGAAAAAGCTTGCAATATGACAAAGTGAAGAAGAATTTCATTCCACAGCCTGGCAGCTTTAGAAGAGCCACTTCTTGTGTGGACCAGCCTAGGGAAAACAACAATATATATTGAAGGATTCTTCTTCACAACAGAAAGGATCTAGGACAACCATGGGCACAGGCAAAGGTGGTACCAGTCCCATTAACCGGGCCAACACAGCCTCACGTATCATCTACTTCTCCACACTGAGTTTTGGCTTTGCTTCACTCAGAACAGTTCCTTGGTAGCCAAGAAAGGGCCAGGCCTAGGAATTAGTTGGGTTTTTGTCAAAGGAAGATGTCGTGCAAGTTTCCTGTAAGCACTGAAAAGGGACAAATCTACCAGTGAACAATACACTGAGCCCACACTCACCTCGACAGAAGTCCATTAGTATCAGCACTTCCCACACGTCGCCACTGCTTACGGAATTTATACTGGAATCAATGTACCCAACAATGTTCTTGTGGCCAGACAGGTCCCGCTGTAAAATAAAGCATAAACCAGCCATATAGAGCGAGCAACATCTTAATCTGGTGGTTCTACCCTGCAAAGCCTTCCTAGCTCTTTTCCTGTCTAGGCACAAGCTTCTGTCACTTTGGATTAATCGTCATGCAAAACTTGAACAGACCTTAGGTCTGTCTCCACCTTCCAGAAGGACGTGAGACAAACCGCAGAGAAAGAGCCAACCTGCTGAACTAACCTGCCCAGGGATCAGTCCAGATTTCTGGATGTTTCCTTAGACGGCCCAGGCCAAGCTACCTGGAGCTGCTCCTCCTTTACCCAGAGAAGAGAACAAGGCAGATGTTTTGTGGTGGCCACGCACAGTACGTGTTGTGCTTACTTTTCTCATCTCCTTCTATGCTTCTGCTGGCAAACTACCTCAAATCTTCACATGCTCAAAAACCCCACTAAGGTAAAAAAGCAAATTTTAACCTTGCTTTAGAAGTACCTTATTTTAAGTAACTTGATGGATTAAAGCACAAGTTCTCATATCAATGACTTATCTGTGATGCATGCTAAACCTGCAGGGAAAGTAATTTTTAGGGACTGCCAGCTTCACACACATGCCCAGGTGCGAGAGCCAGCCCAGTTCAACGTTCAGCGTCTCCAGTAAAAGAAATCAAGATTCTGCTAGTCACATTCTGCTGTAATTAATGCTGTAGTGAGTGCAGTTAGGCTTAAAATACTTTTTTACTGCACAAAAGCTAGGAAATAAGAAAATACAGCCTTTTAGTGATGGACAGGTTCTTCAGGGCTTATGATAAGACTCGGTACAGGAGCAAGCGGACGTGTCAAGCAAGGATACTTCTTGCCCTCACTTTCCAGGTTAGCCACACATTTCAGAGAGGCACCAAAGACATGGAGACAATGGAAAGCACTGGCAAGTAAGATCCAAGTAAACAAGCTTTGTGAGCACAGCTAAAACCTTTGATGTAAGATCAAATCTCAACTTTTCCCATGTGGCATTAGCTACGGTGATGACAAAGCATGGCCACAAGCTTCACTGCACTATCGCACAAACTCCAGAAGTTAACTTTAAAGGTATTAACCTAATTAAAAGCTACTTCAAAAAACACACCCAGAATTGCTACAGGTAAGAGCCTCTGATATGAAGATCATCTACTCCAAACTTACATCTTGTGTTGTTAATTAGTAGGATGAGGGTTTTAATATTTCCTTCCCCACCTTGCAGTACCCTAAAAGTTCATCGATACCTTTGAACGCAACTTCAAAAGTGGCACTTTATAGGTTTACCAGGTTCCAAACAAGACTAATCGAGTTCATTGGGACCACCCCAATGTTTTGTTGTTTAGAGACATTAAGAATAGCCATCCTATCATGTCACTCCTTGTTATCTAATAATTTAGAAAAGTATCCCAGTGCTTATTATATAAACATTTCCCTATTTCAGAACTCCAGGTAGTAACTACCCCACAAATACCGGTTTTACTCTACCAACCTCACCGATACAGAGACAGACTTCATCCCAACACAAAAGATTAGAAGCTGTTGATACAAATTCATCTCAGGATGGAGGTCTTCCATTCATGAACTGATGAAGGTGGTTAAATCAGAATCATTAGCCTTTTCTGATGAAGTCTAAAAGGCGTAAGACTTTAGCCCTGAAGACAGTTACAGACTTTGAAGTCTAACAGCCCCAACGATGGGGCTTTCCCATTAAGTCATGGGGTTGACATAGGAGTGTTTTCCTCCCCTCATTTTCCTGAGATTCCCTCTGCTTCTCCAGTTCTCTTGTTTTTCTTGCCCACTGAAGCTATTTACACTTTAAATAATTCAGTATGAGCTTTTTCACGTAGTCATATAACTTCAGGAGTCAGGTCATTGCAAAAGACAGCTTTGCTAAGAAAACCCACAGTTGGCGACGCGATGCCACACAGATCACAGGCAGAAGGGGATGGGGCTCCTACACTATTCCACTCCCAGTACAGTGGGGCCCCAACACAAAGCGGTGACTTACCATGATTTGGATTTCTCTTTTGCAGACTTGCAAGTCATACTCGTTATTGACGTACATCCGCTTCAGGGCACATTTCATCCCATTGTTAGTCCTCACAAGAAACACTATGGCGAATCCACCTGCAGAAGACACAAAATCACCCTATTCATTTACCAAGAAACCTCATGGTTCTTGCTTCCAACCCTGTCCCTGTCCCCACCTGCCTTCAGAGTACAGTCAGAAGAGGGAGGGCACTCAGCAGCTACCAACAGAGCCCTGGTTGGAGCGTCCCTTACACGTGTTCGGCTCCAGAGCTTCCAACTCTGCCCAGACAGTTATTTCTGGGAACTAAAAGGAATCCAAGGGGGCAAATCTTCAATTAATGGAAGCAAAGTTAACATTAACATCTCCGTAAAAACAAGAAATTACACCAGTTACTTGTGCTGCCAGAGAGTCCTTCACTGCTCCATTAATTTCCATTATGAAGAAAGCTGAAGTATAAACGTTGCCTTGGACAGAAATCAGGGCTACAGATCATCCACTGAATTACTACTGAAGGCCTGGACTTAAAAGACTTCCCAACTTTTGAAGCATCTAAGTTACATTACAAAGCTGATTTTTGCAAGAAGCAGAAGAAACCCATCTCCCACATGTGGTTTGATGTTACTGCTTTTAAAAAGGACAGAAGAACAAGGAAAATAAAACCAAACCACAATTCATTTTGTGGTCATTGCTATTAGTAAGGTCAGGACTCCCAGGACATACTTGACTTGTTTAGGATGAAAGCCTTTCATCTCTCTTAGCAATGCATCAAAATACATGGGTTTGACATTTGTAGTCCTGGACAGAAACAGGAAGCTGACTGAAGATGGAGGTATATAGGCATCAAAGTTTCACACCTGGATCCCAGAGATCAGAATGAATCCGAATAAAGAGTCCACGGATCCAAGTAGCCAAGGAGCGCTGCACAATGGTAAAAAGGGAAGCACGACAACACTGTCGATGGCACAACCCAACAGCACTTCATTTGCTCTCTGTTACCTTCCATTACCGCACATACGTCTTTTATGCTTAAGGACTTCTAAAGAAACAGCTCGACAGTAAATCATGATTTGGTGCTGCCACAGCCTTCAGAAGTCCCATGACACCAAGAGCTGTAGCTACACACTGTAAAAAGCTACTCACATCCCAAAGAATTCTCATTTTTAAAGTTTGAGCCCTTTGGTGAATCCCAATCTTTACAAGCTGCCAGAAACCATCAGATCGACACCACATACACAGCCACATCTGACATGTTTGTACATAATTATTACTAATGGCTATTTAGCACTTACATGAGTTCCTCCCCATCATGTAATATGTGACAAGCAAGAAAGCCACATTTGGGTAAAATTTAGTGTTAAAATAGGTTGCATTTGACAACTCCAGTCTTGCAACAACTGGTGCTTACAAGCTGTTAACAAATCGACCACCACAGCCAAAAGGCCCACTGAAGCTTTTACTAAAACTGGGATTTATTTTCACTAAGATTGAAAAAGAGCAAGTGATCAGACGGCGCTGCTGTGTTCAAAGTATAACCCTGCCCATTTGTTATCAAACAGCTTTTATAGCACCCATTACAGCCCATCTTCCAAAACAACCGCAGAACTTACACATGCAAATAACACGCCTGTCAGCACCAGAGCTGTTAAGCAAAAATCTCTTTTAGCATGCAAAAAACTTTAATTTTACACATCATAGTCTGCCATAAAAAGTAGATCAGGTTTTCCTCAGAAGCCCCATTGACTTTCAGGAGCAGAACTAACCAGTAGCAGCCCCGGAGAAGTTGCAGAAAGATGCAACAGAAGAGGAAGGAAAAAAAAAAAAAAAAAAAAAGAAGGAAAAAAGTGTCAAGATTTCAATTAAAGATCTTAAAACCTATAACCAGGCTGCAAAATGATATACAAATGCAGAAGAACAGGACATGGCCCTGGGATACAACAAGCCATACAGATGCTGCTCATTTCTGACAGATTTTAAACCCCTTGTTGTTCTGAAGGCCTCATTTCTTCATCATGCTCAAATTCAGACACAAAAATAACCCTTAAGCTGCTTCAAGATGAGGATCTCAAGTTACAAGTCATTTTTAAGGACTCCTTAAATCCACAGCAAATCCTTATTGTTCTACCCTGGCCACATTTGTCTCATTTCTGGAGAACAAATCTGCATATCCCACTTAGCCCAAAGGATGTCTATGTTCAAAAAAGCAAGACAACACTCTACTGAATTCCCCCCCTTATAACTCACAACAGAGCCAGTAAGAAATAAGGGACCCACAACCAGCACAACTTCTCCAATTCCTACTTCATTAACGCATTATGCTTTTTAAAAATCATTGGAGAGATCAGGGGGTTTTTTAATTTTCTGTACAGTATTTCCATGGACCACAGATAAAATCTAGAGAAAACATTAAACAAACAAAAAAATGTTTTTATTACACAGTCTCAGTCATCACCAAAACTTTTGGGGAATCACTTTCCCCCCGCAAACGACAAGGCAGAAGCGGTCCATCAGAAGCCTTCCTCCCTCCTGGGGTTCAGTTCCTTTCCCACAGCTCCTCCGGCCAGGCCTGGAGGCCAGCAGGATACCCTATCTCTGTTTACAGCGCTATGCTCAGCAGAAAGAAACGCGAGCTGAGCAGCAAAAATTAGATCAATTAAACTTAAAAAAAAAAAAAAAAAGGCAGATCCACTAAATTCAAGGACATCCTCCTAAATCTTTGCTTCAGCTGAAGCGGGACTGGTACCTCTTCACACCAACTGCTAACTGCCTGATAGCAAAGTTTTGGGCAAGGTACCTTTCCTCTGATCTGGTGCTAATTAAACTAAGTCACTCCTAGAGCACCCTTGCTAGAACGTGTACATCGTGCTGTTTTGCTTACAAGCAACCAGGGCCAACTGGCAAAGAAAACTACAGTCTATGCAACAGATAACATAGTTAAACCATGCTGAGAACTCAAAGGAAAGAGAAATTTAGAATCTAAAAATAAATAAATAACAAAAAAAAAGTTAATGCTTTCTGATAGAGAACTGCAACATGAACACGTAGGGACCTGACAGGAACATGGCCTGGAGCATCTTCCAAATGGAGCAGCAAGACACGAATACGTCAGGTGGAGCCACATCCAAGGACGTGGAATGCTGCAACACTCGCAGAGGTGTCACAGCGCTCACATACACAGGCAAATTACGTCCTCGCGTCCTTCTCTCCCTTACCTTTAACCCCTGCAAACTTCAGCTGACACCACACATGGAAGCTATGCAAAATCATTAACTTCGTCTGCAAATACACCTACCAATTTGGTTACTTTATTATTAAACTCCCACTGACTGCAGATTAAAGCATGACAATTTTGCTACTAGTAAAAGCAGCATGCTTCTCTCCAGAGAAAACAAGTATTGATTTAATCAGGGTACGTACAGCAATTTTTACCCGGCAATCTAGAGTAAGTGACTTTGCCATCAGAGAAGCAAAAATGATGATCCACATCCATTTGAGTGAGGATGCAAAGTCTTACCTTCTAAACACTAAAATCACGTGCTCTGCTTACCTCAGTTAAAGCAGACCACAGTATTCCCTCCAAACTACCCTTTATCGAGCCCAGGTTTTGGCTGTATTCAGGATTTAGTCCAGAAAGGCACAACATAATCAAGAATATCTAACTTGCCTCAGGTATTCCTCATTTAAATCAGAAAAGGTGTGAAAAATACCACCTTAATTTGAATTTTTCTGCATTTATTACACCTTCCACTGCTAATTGGCTTCAGCACTCCCAGTTCTGCATGCAGAGAGCAGGACTGCAAACTCTCAGTAAAACAGCAGGAGGAGGGAAGCGGAAAGGGATAAAGAGCACAAAGAACAGCAGCTTCTTGCCACACTCCTCAAACATAAATAGCTCTAGAAATACAAGATCAAAACCCATTAGCAGGACATAAGGGTCAATTTTAAGAATACCAAGAACCTAGACCTGAAAATTAGCTTCCAGAGGAAGCAGCAGGTGCACAGACAGGGCAAGGAAAATCAGGCCACCAGCATTCATGCACCGCACATGTGTTTGCAGAAACAGGGCTTGATCGCATCCCATGTGCCAGAGCAGGTCTGAGCTACAACAGGAATCCTGCTCCCGCCAGGAGCTGAAGGGCTTGTCAGGCTGAAGTCAGAGCTATAGGTATATCTGCTTACAGGTTACTTGTGCAACAACTGCTGTATGCCTGAAAGTGGCAGGGATGCCTTTAGTGGTCTGGACCTGGACCTTGAGATATTTCCTTTTAAGTCTCTTGTCCACAAGAGGTGATTCTGGAGCTTTTGTCTATCCTTCCCCTCCCAAGCAGCTCGCACATTTACTACTGACTGCTCATGAACTGCCCATCCTGCTAAAGAAAATGGCACTTGCCGGAAACTGATGCGTTGCAAAAAACATTAACAATACCACTACATCATGCGTTGAAGGTGAGGGGTTCAGGTGCAGAAGTAGCTAATACACCTGAAGCATTCTGAAGCACTTGAAACCTTACTACTGACAAATGTGGCCAATACTTTAGAGTCATGCTAAAAGAGCAGTTTCAGAAGGACCTGTACTCCCACAGCTACCTCAAAAGCAGCAACTTTGTTGGTAAGCAGCAGAGAGAAAATACAGTTCACATTTTTCAGCAAATTATGACAGAGGGGAAGGAGGACCCAACAGATGACTGAAATTTTCACTTGGCAGCATGTGACAGCCCAGAACACTGTTCAGCACAGCCCAGGAAGGGACCAAGCAAGCACCAAGACTGCAGCCAACACTGCCTAACGAAGACTTTCTAATGGATTTAAGTTTTCTTTCACCTACCATGCAACATTCCACAGTAGGAGAGGGGGCCATTCGCAGAGCCCCATGGGTGTCTTCTCCAGGCTGTAGCAGTCAGGTCGGGTGCTGCCTCACCGTCTGCCTGGTCATCGATGCACTGAACAACCAGGATTTGCTCAGACAACTCAGCACTCATCTGAACTCTGATGGTTTTTCACAGCATCATGCTGAAATACACTTACTTTAGCTTTTAACTATCTTGCTACCAGCTGCTCCCCAATGGTTAACCCCTGCTCCTTGCACACTACGTATCTA